TAAATAAACAAAAACTTATTATTTTTTAAGTGTTGTATCATTTGATGCAATGATGTCTTCATTAAATCATTGGTTTATTGTTTTATTATCGTTTATCTTATGTTTATTTGAAAGATAGAATTTTACTGAAGTTTAGTAACAAAATAAACCACTGACCAAATAACGAACTTGAAAAATCGGGGAAGATTTACCAAATATTTGGGTGCTTTCCCGATTTTTTGTTCGATAATTGAAACTGTATTGGTTTTTAAGGGTTTTAAACTGTGTACCGTTGTTAGTTCAACAAACAGAAAATAGAAAATAAAACAGATAAAAAATAGTAAATAATGGGAAATTAGGATAAAGGTTTTATAAATTTTGGAAACAGTACAGAGTTTTGGAAAACAGTTTACTTAATTTTTCTACATCAGTTTCTTTAACTTTGGACAGAGAATCAAACGATTTCAATGCCGTTAAAATCAATTCTCCCCATTTTGATGCTCTTAAACTCGTTCTTGTTGCAAACTATAATCTTGCAGACAATTTGAACAAGATCGAAAGCTTCAGAACAACAATACACTTAAAAAAATCAAGAAAACAACAAAAATGTTAATTCAAAAGCTCAACCAACAACTCGTTCAAACTCCAACGGCTTCACGTTCTGTTATCGATATAAATCCGCCAATGAACAGGCAGATTAGTAACAATGCATTATATGATGAACAACTTGGGAGAGCTTTACGGGGTGCTAAAAGTGGAAACGTTAAATATTAATTGTTTTTTTTATTAATTTATTATAAACAAAAATAATTGAAGTATAAAATAATACAATCAATATTAAAATTATTTTATCTGAATATATTGAATTTATTGAATTTAAAATTTTTCGTTTATTATTGAATCTGTATTCATACAGGGTTTACAATTATTGTAAATGTATGTATGCTTTTTTGTTATCAACATTTCAAAATCTTGATAAAATTGGTATACATTTTTTTTTCACACACAGATTAATATTCATATTTATTTGAAAGAATTTTATAAAATTCTGTTAAAATTTTTATTTATTAAGAGTAAATATTATGTTTCTGATATTTTTGTTTAATTATTTCGAACACTGAATTTGTAAGAAGAAAAGGTGTCATATAAGAAAAGTTATATTATAACTATTTTTAAGATCCGTTTCGAAATCATGTACCGTGAAAAAAATGTCGCTTTATATGTAAAAAAGACTTTTTGAATAGTAAAATATCAACAAACAAACATAATTAAAAATTGTCTTGGAAATAAAAACCGTTTCTTTATGATTATGAAGATTTTAATAATATTAATAAAAATAAAATATCTGGTACTGTTTACAATTAAGGCTGAGTATGCACATGGAGACTTTTCTGTCCGGGTGATACTTTGTATTATAATTATTATTATATTATTATTATTTCAAAACATCAAAACAATAGGTAGTGGTTAAAAGGACAAAAGTGGTATTTTTTTCCCTGTAATATCAAATAAATTTCATTTTTTATGGACAAAAATTGATAACTTTAAAGATGAATCAATGTTGGTAAAAAGTTGTATTTGTATTTACATGTTGTATTTTATGTTTTTAAAAATGTATTTGTTAATATGCTATTTGTGTTAATTTGTACATTATTAATTTGGTTTTATCGACAAAACTTGAAATAAAAATGTTTTAATTACGTTGTTACTTTGTCACAAAAGTGGTAATAACAATTGATGAGATAGTCAATTAAAATAGTAATGCAAGTATAATGGTTTATTGTCATTAAATGAAATGTTTATATTTTTAATGAAAATAACATTTTTTAATCACTGAAGTTGTGGTTATTTCCTTTAATAAAGAATCGAAGTGCACAAATTTCAGCTATTATGATATAACCTCGACTTTATCATTTTTGTTCATATAAGTGCTCTCATGTGATTTCGTATTGTGCTTAAATATTTGACCTTTTAAGACCAAATTTCTATAAATCGACAATAACACATTTTATTTTCTTTTTTTATTCTCAAATAACAAAAATTATTATTTTTATTTTATAATTTATTTCAACTAAAATATTCTCTGAATTATTTAATATTTATATTTTTATCATTTAGTGTTTTTAAAAGAATTAACACTTATTTATATTATTATAGTATTTTACTCGTTTTTATCTTTTTATATGTTATATGTTTTATCCAGTAACATCAATCCATAGTCTTGTTAAGTAGTAATATTTGATGTGTATTGTTTCAAGTCAATAACATACTATACAATTAATAAAAAACCATATGAGTCGCAAATCAAAGTAACGTTTATTTATTATATTTTATTATAAACAGCAGATATTTATTTCAAGACAAAATAATTGGTTGTGTTTTTGTTTTTCAAAGAACATCATGTTTTTTTTATAATATCACAAATATGATGTTCGATTATTTCAAAGAATCGAAAAATGAATATCGTTTATTTTGTTTGTAATCATGAATGTAAGTTAACACCATTTTTTAATACTGCAGAAAAACACCAACTTTTATTATGATAATAATATAATTTGCAAACCTAAAATTGCATCATCATTTATTTTATCATTTCGCTATTCAGCATTTCGACAACTGATTCAATAGGAACACGGTCACGCTTCTTTTGAGTCCAACACTGTTTGATGATTTCGAAATAGGGTTCTGGAATATTTTTATCTCTTTGGACTCGTTTCCCAGCAGATACAAAGTCTGCAATTGACCAAGCAAATTGGAAATCCTTTTTGGGGTATATTTCACCCCATTTGAAACACTCAAACATTGTTACAGCAAATGAATAGACGTCCGCCTCTTTCTTGTATTTCTCCCTGTTGAGTATTTCAGGCGCCATATACTTTGGTGTGCCAACACCTTTTGTGAATGTCATGTTAGTTGTGAGTAAATTGACATTTCTTGCACTCCCGAAGTCGGTCAGTTTTGCGTTGACTTTGTCTTTTTTGTTCAACGAAAACACAAGAAAGTTGTCTGGTTTGATGTCTCTGTGTAATATCCCATTTATGTGCAAATACATAATCCCGTTTGCAGAGTCCAACATCATTTTAAGTCGAGTTTGCATGTCAACTTCACTTGATTGTTTGTGTTTCATCAAGTCTTGTAAACTCCCATATAAAGCAAATTCGGTGACCAAACAAATTTTGTTTGTCATAAAACCAGCACCATAGAAGTGGACAATATAATCGCATCTGAATTTGTCCAACATGTCTACTTCCTTCTCAAATTCTTCAAGCGACTTTTGGTCATCTGTGAACTGTTTCATCTTCTTGATAGCAACAGTGTTGCTTCTGAATGTGCCTTTATAAACAATACCAAACGAGCCTTCGCCAAGCTTCTTATCTTCTTCCAATTCATCAGGACCAAGTCGTGTCGAAAGTTGTGTTTTTGCTTTGATATTAATGTGCATATTGGAAACAACACCTTTCTTCAAATTGGAAGAAATTAAGACAATGATGTCATCAATTTGACAACTGCACAACGGCTTCAGAAACACTTCAAATTCGATTGCTTTACCTTTTGGTATTGTTGCTATATTTGGTGAAGTTCGAATTGTGTATTTGTAGCAATTCTCTTTTGTTGAAAATTGGACTTTAATTGTGTTGTTGCCACTATTACCAACACATATGAGTTCACGACTCTCTTCATTCACTGATATTTCCTTATTGTCTTCGTTGCTTTCAAACACAATTGCATTGATATTAACAACGACATCGGGTATATCAATTTTCTCAAAAGTGATGTTTGATTTGCTGATTGTAAAAAGACACGTCTTCTTCCTTTCTTCGTGTTCTTTTGTTCTTTTGATGATTTTCAACGTTATAAACATAGTCACCATTAACACAACAAATAGTACAAGAATGATGAAAAAACGCCAATAAAAATAACCCACCAAACTGCTTTCTTTGCACACGAAGTGCCATCAGAAGACGGGGCGTACCAAAATTTACATGTTGCACATTTTGAGTTGTCAACTTTGGTGCACTGACTAACATTACTTTTTGAAATACATTCGGAGCTGATTAAGATGTAATTTGGAGAACACGAAGTGCACACACCAACAGAATTACACTTATCACAATTTGACTTTGTGGAATTACAAGACACACATAACTGATTTTTCACATAATAACCAGTCGAGCATTGAGAACACCCATTTTGAGTTTTTGTTTCGCAGTTTGTATGATCTTCGTATGGAATGCATTGATTCCCTTCAGTGACAAGAAATGTGTTTTCTTTGCATTGTAAACAGGTGTTTTTCTGGTTGCATTCATCACAGTTGTCAATACAATTCTCGCATTGGCCCTTGTCGTTTCTGAAGTATTTTTCATCACAAATTGCACATATGAAAAGTCGGTTTATCATTTTCTTGCAATTTTCCATTTGTGTTGTTGATGTCATACAAGTCCCGTTACTTGAAACTGAGAAACCGCCTTCACATTCAATACACACAGTTGCATTGATACAACTCATGCAATTATTAGGACAATTTAAACACGTTCCATCACTGAGATAATGTTTGTTGGCACAACGAATACACTTCCCATTATCATTGTTGATGAGGTCACAATTTTCTGTTTGATTACTTGACAAACCAACACATGTTTGATTTGGTGTGAAATAATACCCGTCGTTACAAGACGCGCATTTCCCATTTGTTATTGCTATTTTACAATTCGAAATCTCACTACAAACGCCATTTGATTCTGAAATGAAATTTGAATGATTTTGGCAACCCGAACAATATGTGTTTGGTGATGAAACACACCCACTTGATTCAAAAACAATGCAATTACCATCACAATTTAATACTCCCATGTTTGAGCATTTTACACACTTTTTGTCATCACACAATTCTCCATATTTTAACGAACATTCGACACAGGTGCCATTGTTTGAGGTTAAAGGGTCAAATAAATTGGATTTTAATATTTAGTAATTGAATAATTTGGGATTGAATCTGTTTCAATTTTAATTCAATCACAATTCAAAAAAGTTCAACTTGCAATTTTAGATAAAAACATGTTTCTATGTATATTTATAGAACTTGAAGATGTTTATTTTTTTATGGGAAAGTCACACAATAATTATAATTAATTTAAATTTATAATAAATATAATTATTTGTAAAATAATAAGAATCAAAATAACACTATAAAATATATGTTTTATTATTACAATAGTTTATTTTATATTTATTTATAGTATACGTTTCAAATGTAATTGATGTTTGGAAATTAATAATTTAAAGAAATCTTTTAGTTGTATTTTTCTTAGTAACTTTCTTTTTTCTTTTGCCATGACCAACAAATCTTCTTTTTGATGGTGGCAAATAATTTGTTTTATCAAAACCTGTTTCACATAACACAACTTCATTTACCAATTCTTTGGGGGAATCAATTATCGTTGTTTCATTCTCAGTATTAAATACAGAGTCTTCTTGTACACACCGTTCTGTTGTGCAAATTTGTTTTGAATAATCTCTAATATCATTAATTGTTTTTTCGTCTGCTTCCTGAATTTTCCATTCTAAACACTTTGTCATATCGATAGGTTCTTCAACTTGTGTTTGTTCATACAATTTAAACCATCTGAACGTATCAATAGTTTCAATCAAATACTTTTCAAATGAATCAATTGATCCACTTTTACTATAATAATTTAAGGTTAGATTGTGTATTAGTGTTGGTCTGTTAATAAAATGATTCTTCCCCTTATCCATTTGATTAATTTTTAACAATTCCGAATCTTCGTGTTTCATTAAAGTGATTAACAATTTGTTCAAAGTTGGTTTCTTACAACACAGCCTTTTCACGAGTGCTGAATGATAAGATTCACTCAAATTATCAGTCCTCAATTTTTGATTGAACTGGCACCACAATTTGATTGGCCACTTTTCTAACCAATTCAGCTTAAAATACATAAGCAACTCCATTACAAGTTGTTTTGTTTTATCATCGAATTTATAACTGACGGCTTTGTTGTTAATAATATCAAATCTGTGTGGTATTTCACTTGCTTTAAAAAATCCAAAGTTTTCTAATTGTTGACAATGGACCATATTGATGTTTCTGGATAATATTGCTGTGAAAGACCCAAGTGTTGTACTTTTCTCCATATGCATTGGGTAAAATGGAAATAGCAACCAAGGACACAACATTTAAACCCAATTAGAGCATTGATGACAGCAGTTTCGAAATCAAGCATAACACTTGTATTTTCATCAAACAATAAATAACCCATGTGAGTTATAAAATATTCGTTTAATAAATGGAACAAGTTTAAATAGTCCAATTCTGTTTTGTTAGTCATCAAACAATGACAAAAAGTAAAGCATTGACCATTAGATAAAACACAATGAATTGTGTATAATTGCTTATAAGAAATTGGACAAGAATTATACGTTCCATCCATACAAACGTAAGCAATTTTTCTATCTTTTATCTTATTCATTTTTTCATTAGAGATCATAATAAAAAACGGTCTTCGTCTTTTATGTAGTATTTACCACTATTCAATAATTCTTCAATTTTATCTCCAATCAATTCACTTTTTATTTTGTTGATTGTTCTTCTTAATGACGTTCTTCTTCTTTGATCAGATGGATTGATTGTTTGGTATTGTTCTAATATTGCTGTTGCCGAACTTAAAATGTTAGTTCCTTGTTTGCACAGTTCTGTTAATTGTTTATCACTGTTGGTAATTTTTGGAAGATGTGGATGAACTGTCTTATTTTGATCAACATATTTAAATTGGAGAAATTTGAAATTTTCACCCGATCCTTCTGTTTTTAATATTTCTATTTTAACATCACATTGTGGGCATTTATAAACAGTTCTTGAAACGTTTAAAGGATTAAACGTATAACCAGATACACATGGTAACATGTTTTTTTCTCCATTTGATGCTTTTTTCCGGCTTGGTACTTGAGTAATACTTTCAATTTGCATAAAAGAGTTTGTAGCGATTATTTTTAATATTAAAAACGGATTGCTTTTCATGTGTTATCATATTATATTTATTTAAATCATTTTTATTTTTTAAGTATAAGTGTGATTTTAATAAATAAAACAATAACCAAACACAATAATATTGTAATTTAATTATTGTTTTTAGACTCTGTTTTAAATCACAATAAAATTTTATTTATTTACAAATATTAAATAATTAAACAAATAAATAAAGGCGAAAAACAATTCTGTTTATTTTAAAACATCAATGCAAAAAATTTTATATTTAAGTCAAATAAATAATAACATACAAAAAAATAATTTATATTCCAAACACACAAAATCACTTTCAATTGATTAAGTCAAAGCATTAAAAATTATATTTAGTTGGTATTTTGTTAATTGTTACTTTCTTTATTTCATATTTTTAATTATAATATTATATATGTAATTTTGTTATTTTACAAATAATTATATTTATTATAAATTTAAATTAATTATAATTATTGTGTGACTTTCCCATAAAAAAAATAAACATCTTCAAGTTCTATAAATATACATAGAAACATGTTTTTATCTAAAATTGCAAGTTGAACTTTTTTGAATTGTGATTGAATTAAAATTGAAACAGATTCAATCCCAAATTATTCAATTACTAAATATTAAAATCCAATTTATTTGACCACCCAATCATTGTTTGAATAGTATGAATCTGAACATAATATGAACTTTTCTCCTATGACAATTTCACCATCAGGTAAAGGTACACATACATTCTTTTCATTCAAAATATGAGTATTTTTGCATGATAAACAAAATTCAAACGTTTCACAATACAAACAATGATCAGAGCATTTATGACACTTATCAAATGTATTGTAATAGCCCGCTGAACATTTCAAAACTTTCTGTTTCGAGTACAATTCTACATTTGTTGTTGTCTTATTTATTGCAACACAATTCCCTTCTGAATTGTAATTGTAATTGTCTTCACATAAAACACATTTTTGGTTCACACATCGCTTGCAGTTGTTTAGGCAATCTAAACATTCGTTTCGATACGCCTCTTGTTTAACATCACATTGTTCACACACATTATTTGTATCACTTGTTGATATATTTAGACAGGAAACGTCGATTCCAAAACACATTCCATCTTTCAGGTACATATCTTGTTTGCATAGTACACACATATAATCCCCATTTATCGAAGTTTTGCTTTACACTTAAAATAAGTGGAAAATTCGATTGTGTTACTGTTATTTGAATTTGGCTGAAAAAGATATTTGGATGAGATAAACAGTTTGTCGATTTTTTGTGCTAGAGTAACACTTGCACCATTAACAGATTTGTTGTTGATATAAAGAACACCACTCTTAATATCTTTGAAGTGTGTTGAATAATTAGTTGTTATTGTTAAGTTTAACACATCCACTTCTTGTTGAATATTTCCTATAAATGTATCATTTATTGTTACATTCATCGTATTTACTTTCACAGTACACAATGTTACGTTTAATGGGCAGTGATACAAGTAATATTTGTAGTTACGATAATCGTAAAAATTGTTTCCATTTAAAGTGCATTTAACCTCAGTTTCATGGTCGATTGTTGAATTACAGACTCTCAATAATTTACCACCTCTAAGTAAACTCAATTGATTTGCATTCCAATTGGGTTTGTATCGAAAAGAAATCACATCAATGCAAAACTCTTTATAATCGAATGTATCTATTTCGTTTGTACTATTCATTAGAACTGAACCGCCATAAACATTTATCAAAGGATTTCTGTCAATGTTTGTTGTTGTCAAATTAAAAAACTTAAGACTCTCGCTTTTGAAAAACAATTTATTACTGTAAAATGATATATGACTGTTATCGTTGAACATTAAATTTCCATAAACATTAAAATCAATATACATTATCAAATAATCGTAAACGACAACATCTTTTGCATTTATATAATAATCCCAATAGTTTGTATAAAGTTCACATTCACAAGTAAAATTGATAGATTTCCAATTTTTATTATCGATATAATCTGTCATAGAAACACTATCATAAATAATTAGATTCAGTTGCCAATCGTATCCATACATTTTACAATCACTATCACTCATAAAAAATGATTTTTCTGTTATAAAATTGCCATATTTATACTCACAGTTACATGGTATATTCAACGAAGTCGATAAGTAAACTCTGCTTCCACACACTGATATGTTGTTTGTTGAGCCTTCTAATAAACCTTTTAAATAAAATAACACCACATCATTAGTACTTGAAATTATATTATCGACAGTCAACCTATATTCAAAATATGTTCCAGAAGGTGAATTGACTTCAAGTGTTGTTATTTTAACTGGTAGTCGAAAGAATATATTTACGTCTTTATCCAGAACAAGTGAGTTCAATTTTAGAATAAAACCTGAATTAATTGGTTTTAATTTATAATTTTTCATATTTGTTACTATCAAAGTGTTCCATTCAAATACATAAAGTGTGTAAGTGTTATTATATTTTGAGTAATTTGACAAATCCAAATCAAGATAAGTACTGTTATAATCACAGTCAGGGTATGTGAAGTTGCTTGAATATGTCAAATTACCATTGTTGGGTTCACGTCCACATAAATTAGTATTAACACCTTCTGTTATTTCATTTTCTTTAAACAGCATTATACGTTTAAAGTTGCTTCTTGTACACACCGCCTTTGCAACCCAACCATCCGAAAAACTTCTTTTTGTGAAAGTGACTCGACTTTCATCAACTTGAGAAGACCCACTAAACAAGTAACGCGACCCAGAATAGACACCTTCCCAAGCAGACATATCACTGAAATTAAAATTGACTGTTTGAGAGACCAATCCATCAACATGAACATATGGAATGGAAGTCAAGTTTCTTCTTAGCCAAATGTCAAAGTGCTGATCAATATCAGAAAACAGTGAAACCGAACGTAACTCAAGTCCTATATAATGGTCTTTGTATCATCATAAACCTCTTTTCGACAAACTTGTTCTTTGTTGAAACAACCAAAAGATATGAAAAATGGTTGGTATCTTTTGTCTTCATAAAAGTCATAAAGTGTATTTGGATAATATTCTCTAATGAAAAATGTTTTAAAATTGGACATGTTACCTTGGAACCTAAAATACTTCCGATAATTTCGAGCATAAGTACCTGTATTTGCTAAAGTCTTTGTGTTATTAATACAACAAGTGTCATCAAAATTGAAATGGTCATAATCGTTTGTATCTGTTGAATATGACCACCTTTTTTGGTACATGTTTCAAATACACCATAACTAATTGCACCATTCGAGTTGTCGCACCATTCATATGATGATGATATAACCGCAAATGTCAAAAACATTATAAGGAAATACATATTCATTTAATTTAAAAGTTAATCTTAAAAATTATGTAATACTTACTTTAAAAACATTCAATGGGAAAATACCCTTTAAGGAATGATACATCTCATAATTTGTCTACTTTTTCGATATTTATTGAGTTAGTAATTATTCTATTTTTATTGTCGAATAATAAATTTTCAAATAAAATTTTAATAAAATAACAATGTTTTAAAGTGCTTTTGACAATTTCGGTAACAATATATTATAATTTACCAATTATTTATCAACTGTTGGTTTATTTTTAATAAATAATTTAAATTTTCATATTTATAACAATATCATCATACAATATGTTTACTATACATAAAATATTTATTAATGAACAATAACAATTTTTTTAAACGGAAAAGTCTTACTTTTTTGATACTTGATAAATATTGTGGCATTGAAAATATAACAAATTTATGTTAATAATACAATATTAATAAAAAATAATCTATAATATTGTTATTTTTTAATAATATAGAATTCTGAATTATAATGTATTATGAACTATGACATTAATGTTAATATATTCACTTTTGTAATCTGATTTGTTATTTGTTAATGTTAAATAGCTTATATGAATAATTTAGTTGATACAAATTAAATCAATTGTACAACAACAATTTAATGTATAATCTTTTTAGTTTTTCGCATTGATATTAAAAATAAAAATGATCACATCTTTATATGTTACCTCTGAATTTATAAATAACTGTTTTATTTATTATTAATAATTTTAATACAGTGTCTTAATATATTGACAATTCAAAAATGGAACAAATTGTTTGAAATCAATGATTATGAAATAAATTTCAAGTTAAATTATCAATTTTTATTCAATATTTAAACTTTTGAAAACATATTACATGTTTGTTGTTATTATAATAAAATCCGTTTCGTGTTCATCAATTATTGTTAAATACTTCACAAATAACACATAAAAAACTTTATATAAAAAAATAACAACAAAGAAATGTATCAAATATATATTTATTGATGTACATGTCATATAATCAATGTTTGAACATAATATTTTTTGTTTATTGTTTTACTAAATGTGGTTAAATACAATTTGAAATTGATTGCAGTATATATATAATGTTTTTATTTATTCATTTTCAGAAATACAATTCAATTGTTTTATATCTTATCAATAAATGAATTATATCAAATAACTTATAAAATGTAATAATAAGCATATTAAATAAAATTTTTAAATTTAAAATGTAATAATTGAACAATGTTATTAAATACAGTTTCTGTTTGATTGTATAAAACAATAATATACTATTGCATAAATCAAATTTTTGATTTATGTTTAGTATTTGTTTATATCAAAAATATAACATTATATTGTTGAGTATTACATCCCACATTAATTTGTGTTTATGAATTGTTTATAAATAGTTATAAATGTAAAAATAAAAAACAATTATAGCTTAAGAATAAAGATATTTTACTTTTATTGTGAAACGTTAATTACTTATAACTAAATCTAATGATGTAATATTATAACAATTTAATAATGTAAAAAATATAATGCATTAATTCATTTTATTTATTAATAATAATTGATGATACACGTTTGAAACTTTACAAAAGTGTGTAATGTGTAACAGATGTTAATTAATTAATAACAATTCAAATACAAATTTTAATTGTTTCATTAAAACCAAAGATATTAAAAATCGATTTTAAATAATTGTTCTGATTATATCATAGGTGTATATAATACACTTCAACCTAATTAGAAGTTGAATTTGTTTTTGTATAAATTATTTTAATTAAAACATTATCAATTGAAAAGTGAATTGATAAGTAATAAATATAATATTAAAATATATATAATAAAAATTTATAATTATGTATATCGATAAACAATAAATAAGTGTCGTTTGTAATATTATACAATTAAATTTAAAAACAAAATGTTAACATACTCATGATTAAATTATTTTTTTGGTAAATTATACGTACAATTCAAATAATGAAAAAAGATAAAGAAATGATTATAAAAAGGTTCAATATATACTTCATTCTAATTAAATGATAAATGATAATTAACAACAATAATATTAAATTTAAAAGTTATAAATAAAAGAATATCAGATATATTTTATTTAATATATTGTGATTTTATTGGCACTCAAATTATAAATTGTTGGCTTTTTAAATCTGTTTATCATATTCTATTTAATCTTTAATTAATTTTAACATTTTATTAAATTTGAGTTAATTTAAGATAATTATAAAATGAAATCTATTTTAATAACTGCAAAACTTAAAGTAAAAACAAAATTTGAAGTCTAACAACGCAAAAAGAAATTGAGTATTATTTTTTATCATTTTTGTTCAATTGATTTGATTGTTATAATTAATATCATAAACTCTATTTAAAATTATACTTGATAATTTAACAATCAAATAACAACAAACTTTGTTTTAAAATTACACTCGAATTATACTATTTTATTGTTTATAATAATAATAAGTATTAAAAATTAAAAACATAATTATATAAAAATTAATGTTAAAATTCACGTGATTGTTCTGTTTTCTTTTGTCGTGAATTCTGATTGGTTTTATTATTAATTATCCAATTCTTTGTAAAAATCAATATCGAATCGAATCTATTGTATTATCAACCTTTCAATAACAACTTTAAATGTGTTTATTCAAATAATAATAATTTATATATTATTTAAAACAATTAAAACAATTGATTATTAATAAAAAAGTGTAGTAATTAGGGGTTGTAAAAAATAATTTATAATTGACGAATTAATTTTGGCGTTTCTGAATTGGAACTTCGAAGTAAACCATGATTCGTAGTATCTATTACTTCAATTTATGCGCCTTTCTTGTTCTATTTGCCATAATCATGGGTTTGCCTCTTGTCAAAAATTTAAACCCCAAGCTCACTTACTCTGTTTCACAAGACCAAGTCGACACCAAAAAACATGTGCTTGAAACTCCACTGGCGAATGACGATTCGTACTTCAATACAGTCAATTTGAATGGTGACTCCATTCCAACTTTCACAGAACAACAACTCAAAGAATACAACAAGAACTCCTGATAAATATTTGGAACGACATGATGATGATAATGATGTTTTTAAATTCAAAACAGAAGGAGAACAAGACAAAGTTGAGGAAAAAAGATGGCACAAAAAGGCACTTTCAAAATGCAAATATTGCAACAAGTTCCCAACAAATCAAACTGAAATTGACATGCAAAAGATGTATGGCATCCCAAAGATGTGCAATGGTCGCATTGATGCTGTGTGGATATGGGTGAATGGCAGTGACCTGAAATGGCGTTCCAATTTGAATCGATATGCTGATAAAATCGACTTCAACAGATATCGCGACTCGAGAGTCTTGAAATACTCGATGAGAAGTGTCTCAAAGTACTTGCCATACATCAAAAACCACTTTCTAGTCACCGCAGACCAAGTCCCCGACTTCATTGAGTCGCCCGGTAATTTGACGCATTTCAGGATTGTTAAAAGTGGGATGACACTTGAGGTGATACCACACAAAGACCTCATTGATAAAGCAATTTTGCCAACATTCAATTCAGAAGCAATCGAATCGTATTTGTTCAAAATCCCAAACTTGTCCGAGTGCTTTGTCTTTCTTGGAGACGACTTTTTCTTCTATCGACCAACACCACCAGACTTCTATGTCAAAGGAGACAAGCTTGTGATACACACAGAAAGAATACTACCAGCCAATAAAAACCCTTACAAAAACACACCAAGAATTCAATTATGCATTTCCAATTTGATTTGTTATTGGATTACATGGCTCGGAGCAGTCTTCTTCTTCAACCATCTCTTCGCCTAAATAAAAACCCTTACAAAAACAACCAATATTGGACGTGCATATTCTATTCCAACGACCTCATCAACAGGTATTTTGGTAAAGATTCAAACCACATGAACATGTTCTTGTCACACACCCCACATATGTACTTAAAAAGTGTATTAAAAGACGTCGAACAAGCGTTTTTAATTGAGTTTTACATACAGAGAGATTCAAGAATGAGGAGGTGGAACAGCACCAATTGGGCGTTTATATTTGGGAACTATGTTGCGTCGAAAGGGCTGGGTGAATACGCAATCCAAGATAACAAAAGCAAATTCTTTATGGTTGGAAACAACCATATAAACAATGTTATGGAAAAATGCCTGTGATTGAGACAGAACCGTATGCACTTGGTGTGAACGATGAAATGAATGACAAATGCTTTGAAAAAGAGATGAGGTATGTCCACAGGTGGTTAGAAACAAAGTTCAACGACAAAACAGTGTTTGAAAAGTGAATGAGTGTATTAATGTTGAGTTGTTTCAAACATTCCTTATTTTATAATTACAATGTTTTTAATTGTAATAATAAATTTATTTATATATTTTTTATTACGAAAACAAATATATCTTTTGTTGATGTGTACTTATTTGTTGGTTTTAAATTGGTTTAGAAGGTGTGTGTTGAGAATGTATCACGTCCTTGATATTAATAATAAACAATTATACTGTTTATTTTTACAACCAAGTTTATATCGTTTTCCAATTTAAATGACCATCAACAAACCTACAACTCGAGATAAACATAATTATGGAATTTCTTAATGTTTAAACACATAAATGTATTATCATTTCTGAATTATTTATATTATATTTTTATATATCATAATATGAATAATAAATATTATCATAATAAACATAATAATAAAATCATATATTTACTTGTCTGTTTTGCCAGTTTCTTTTTCTGTTGAACTTTCATCCTTTGTTGGAGGATCGTCTTTCTGTTGATGTTCACCAGAGACATAGCTATGAGATCTGTGTAACACACTTGATGCTGGCGTTTGTTTTTGTTTTGGTTGTGGAGCTGATGTGTGTCTTTTCCTTTGTGTTGTGAACACGTCTTGGCTTGGTTTTGTTGTGAGAATTTTAAACACTGTTGAAGTCTTTCCTGCCAATTGTGGTTGTTGTGTTTTTTGGTGTGGAGTTTTTGTTGTTTGTGTTTGACTTGGTCGCCGCTGTCTTCTTTCGTGTTGGTCTTCAGTTGAAGTTAATACTTTTTGTTCGCCTCTTTTTTCTCTTGGCACTTTTGGTCTGACAACAAGTTGTTGTTGCTGCTGTTGTTGTCCAAAATCAAATGGGTGGCTTTGTTGTGGCCTTGGTGTTCTTTGTCCACCACTTCTGATTTGTTCTGAATGTTCACTTTTTGTCTCACCACTTTCTTTTTTCTTTCCCTCAGCTTCACTGAGCGATCTTTGGAGTGTTGGAGTGCTTTTTGGTGTTTTTTGGTCTGGTGTCGAGAGTCGTCTTTGTCGTCGTTTGTCGTCTTTTTGAGTCATAATGTCAAACATGGTTGTTGTTGTTCCTGCAAATTTGAGACGTCTTTTTTCTTTTTCTGGAGAAGATGGCTGTTTGAGGCTTGATCGTTGTTTTGTCTCTCTGCTTGTTTGTTTGCCACCAACAGCTCCTTGTTGAGTCTTTGTATCAATTCCTTCTGGGACATACGGTTCTTGCAGCAACTCTCTGACACTTTTCGTTTCTTTCTTCATTGGAATCACTTTTGGTCGTTCTTTTGGAGGCGGGTGTTCAGGTGTTTGTGGTTTAGGTAAGACAAGCATCGGTCTTCGATGTATTTTGAGTGATTCGTCACTGTAGAGTATTTTTAACGATTCAAGAAAATCGCCGAGTCGTGTTTGTGATCGGATGAAATCAACAGATTTATGAATCTTCGTCTCCTTCCCAAGTTGCAACAAAACCTTTCTTTTTAACTCAAAGAACATCAATTGAAGCATCAAATCGTTGTACGATCTTAGTTTTTGTGTTCGTGATAAATCAGCGCCATGTTTAATGTTCTCCAAATTTGTTTTGAGTGAGAACATGTATTTGCCATAACCACGCTCTGTTGAGTGCAAATCGTAACATTCATCTATTTTTTCAAACCATTTCATCAATGTCAGTTTTTTAATTGTTTTAGCTTCGATTATTTCTCTTAGAAATGAACTCATTTCATCTTCACATATTTTCATTTGTTGGACTGTGATCTCCAATTTAGGTGTAAACAATTTTCTGTGCTTCTCAATTTCAATTGAAAACAGTCCATACGATCTAATCACCTTCTCTGTCTCTTTGAGCAACTTTTTGAGTGCTTCCAAAAGAAGGGATGACGGATAATATGTCTCATCTTCAGATGGGTTTATTCCATTACACTCTAATATGACTAATACAAACAACAAAACCATAAGATATCAAGTTTTGACCTCTTTTCAAAAAGTTTTGACTTTGAAATAAAAAATAATATATGTTAAAAAGTCCATCATAAATAAACATTTTCTATTTAAAAATATAGTTTTAAATTTATATAATTTGTCAATTCATACACGTGATTTGATCGAAAATGTTTAAACAATTGTCGACATTATTATAAAAAAGATACAATTTATTAAAGTTTAAAATATTTGTGATTTTTTAAAAATATTTATCAAAAATAACATCTGATATTATCATATCTTTTAACTAATAAACAAAGTATCATCTCGATATTTTATTTCAGTGAAATTTTGGAAATATTTACAATAATATCACTGTCAATTGTTATTGTTGAATATTTGATGAACCAAACCTTTCATTTTTTCTCCTAATTAAAAAAGAACACAACATTTTATATAAAAGTTCAATTAAAAATGTGATATGATGAAATACGATGATACACTCAATATAAAACATTATAACATTATTAATCTTGTTGATAAAAACACGTCATTTTAAATTTTACATCACTTTTTTGATTTACACCATGAAAATCAAAAATTAAACTGAGTCATGTATAACTTTTGTATTTTTGTCAAAACAAAACTCTCCATTGCAACGTACATTATGGGAAATTTTAATACTTTTCAGACTCTCGCACTCGTAAAAACAGAAGCATTCAATGCACTCGACACTTTGTGGTATTGTGATTTCACTCAATTTTTTACATCCACTAAAACAATTTGACGGTAGTGTTGTTATTGTTGATGGGAGTATGATGTTACTCAACATGCTACACTCACTAAAACAACCCGCTTCCAGTGATGTGACAGTCAAAGGAATTTCGATACTCTCCAACACACAACATTTATAAAAACAATATGTGCCAATTGTTTTAACATGTGGTGGTATTGTAAAACTGTGCAAGTCATTTGTTTGTGTGAATTTCTTGCCATTGATCACTTCGACACTTGACGGAATATCAAAACCATACATTTTCAAGTCACCACACAAACATGTCAGTCCAAGTATTCCAATCAATATTTTTGGTATATCAATACGTTTCAAAGAACAACAACCATAAAAACAGTTGTGACTGATATAAGTGACACTCTGTGGGATTTTGATGCCACTCAGATTTGTGCACTTATAGAAACAATCTCTGGCAATGCTTGTCACTTTCTGTGGAATGTTGATGTAAATTAATGTGTTGCAGTTCCAAAAGCAGCCGTCATCAAGTGATGTGACTTCCTGTGGAATCTTTTCGCCAAACTTTATTCTGTCATGCGTTGTGTATGCCACATTTTTGAATGTGATGTTGCTGTTTTTGTTTTTGACGACTGTCCGGTAATTAACTTTGAACCACACAAATATTTGGAAGAACTTCTTTTTGACACCAATTGTATCTCCATACCAAACATCTTTATAATTGTTGAAAGTGTCTCTTTCAGTGTATTCGTAGGGTTCCACATACAATAAAATTGAGTTGCCAAATGTTTCGTCAGTATCACATCTCAGATGGAGTGTTTCAATGTTTGGGAAGTACTTGATTGTTTCTGTGTAAATTGTTATCGGGTTGTAATGGAACATCGCCATGATGTCTTCGAACTTCTTGCAGACCAATACAAGGGTTTTAAAGTCAAATTCGCTATCAAAATACTGCGAAACTATCATCAGGTGGTACCGATCAAGTGTTGTCATTGTATTAAGTATTTTAGTTATTTCCACACTTTCTTCTAATATGAAATAAAAATCATTCGAAACAACTCATTAATCATTTTAATTATAATTTAATTATAAACAATTTATTTTGATATAATAAATAGAGTTTGAGTTTTTTTAAGTTGTTGCATTATAATTCTTCTTTTAAAAAATAAATTGAAAATTGAAAAAATTACTATTTCCATAACAAATTATTTCTAAATTTTGTTTGTTGTGATTGAAGTTAAATATAAAGAAACAATGTCATCAAATACTTTTTTGTTTGTACATTTTTATCATTTGTAAATAAAAACTGTTTTTTTTCATATTTTGTTGATTTATTTCAATTAAACAAACAAAATTTTTTGTTGTTTGTGTATTTTCTAATGCCTCTGTTTAATTGTTTTATTAACATTTAAACACTTTTGGTGGTGTTTAAGCATAAAATAACATCTTAATTGATGTAAAATTTACAAATTTTGTTCATATAATAATATTATTGTTTTTTATAAAATAAATAATCATTATGTATTGTCTTAATGATCTAGTGTAAGCAAGTTTATTTTAACCACATGAATATATCATTTATCATTACTGAAATTAATAGTCATATATTGATTAAATTATATCAAATATGTTATTATATATTTTAACTTATTTATTTATGTTGATATTATATTTTATTGAACAATAAATCAAACCAAATATATTATTTATTTTAGTTTGTATGATAATTAATTAAAAAAGATATAACCAAATCAATTCAAGTTATTTATTTCCTCCAAAAATATATTGAGGTAATAAAATACACGAACTCCAAATTATAGTTTTTCAGAGTTTTATCTAAAAAACCAAAATTGCAGTTCCCGTTATTTTAGACAAAAACCACGTATAATAATTGCACCAAATTACTTGAAAAGGAACAGTTTACTGTTGTCGCCCAATATTTCAAGAAAACGAGCGAATAAAAGATGGGTGATGTGTCGCGCCTATAAAAAGAAAAGCAGAGGCAAAAAAGACACAAATGTCTTGGGACGGATACACAGCTTCAATGATCGGTGCTGGCAAGGGCCACGGAGGAATCATTCTTGCGACTAATGGTGCCATTATGTCACAAGTTGGAATGACAATTCAACAAGCAGAAGCCACCACTATTGCAAATGCCATCATGTCTGGCAATGTTGCAGACTTCCAATCAAAGGGACTTCACATTGGTGGTGTCAAATACACCGTCACCAGAGCTGACAAAGACGAAGGAACCGTCTTTGGAAAGGCCGGTGCTGCTGGTGTTTCAATTTACAAAGGAATCAAAGTCATCTTGATCGGATACTTCAAGGACGCTTCAGTCTCTGCTGGACAGAACTCCGATGCTGTCTACAAGCTCAAGGATTACATGGGACAATCCGGCTATTAAAACAATTATTTTTCATTGTTACTCATTTTTTAATAAGGGATTTTAGCTTATCATTGAACTTTTATAATGCATATAACTCTCTATTATTTATATCATCTTTACATTTGAAAAAATATAGTGAAAAGAACTTTTGACATTGGCGTGAATAGTTGTGCAATTTGTAATGTATAACTATCACATATATATATTATATTATAACATATATTATTTTTATAGTAAATGGTAATAATACTAAATTATTGTTGTTGTAAGTCACATTTGAAGCAACTGAAAGTTTGTATAGGAAAAATAGACATATGAAACTCTTTGCATTAAAACATATCAATAATAAAACTAAATTGTGATATGAACATATAGTTGTGTTTTAACCAAAGAGTTTTATTTTGATAAGTTAAACGATCACAATGAATACAGTTGTTCAAACATTCAAACAATTTCCGTCGACCAATTTCCCAAATAAGTTATTTAATAAAACTTTTATTATAAATAAAACTTTTAAAAAAGATAAAAATATAAATTTATTAAAATTTAAAAGTGAAGAAAAAAACTGAAATAAAAAAAATATTTCAATGAATACAATGGAAGAGCCCGACGCCATCAAGGAGGTCATCCGATACTCCGATAATTCACACATGGTCCTTACCACGTCCGGTGAGAATTATATAGTGACTTACCCGGGCAAAGTGATTACTCAGAAATTCACATCATCGACAAATTACTCGTTTTCGACACCGCACAAGACACGATATAGTCAAAAAGTGTTCTGCATCATATCGGAGGTCGCGGTGACATTTTATTCGAACGAAGAGGGAAGACTTCTTCCACAAGAGACGATATATCAGGAGTCGCTCTCGTCGTCGTATTTCAACACAAAAGTCATCATCACCGATGTCTGTTTCTGTGACAGTAGTGTAGTCCTCGCAACAACTTTTGGCATTGTCATCTTTGCAAGTTACCCCACACTTAAAGAGAAATTCACTATTCAAGTCACACTCAACCCACTTGCCGCAGTCGCTTACAACACAACAAATGGCGTCCTCTACACAATCGACGACAACTTTGTTTTCTATGCAATTCAATTGGACAAAGAAACGTTTGAAGTCACTGAATTACTCGCAAAAAAAAGTCTGAGTGAGTACATTTCTTTTGTTGACACAGAGGACATTACAATTTCTATAACAACAAATGGGTGCATTATAGTCACTGATCATAAAGTCTACCAATTCTGGCTTCAAAGCAAAAAATGGTTCTGTTATCCCCTCTCTGGAATCCTCGACTACAAAATCACTGAGTCTGGCATCTTCTTCCTGACTGAGTCCAGCGTGTTTCAGTATCAACCTCGCACCTCAGAGCCACGTAGAGTCGCGTTTCTAACAACACCAACGCATTTTTCTCTTTTTATAGGACTGTCCGTTGCGACATACCCCTCCTCCAAATTTGATGATATTTTCATCTCCAAATTACTCATCCCAAGTCACGAAGAAGAGGCGGAAAGCGCCTCTTCAAATGTACTCAATGAACTCTCCGAACACTCGTACTTATACAACGACGACAACATTCAGCGACTTGTTTTTGGTGAGGCGGTGTATCGCGCAAATAAACAGCCTATCTACTTTACAATAGAAGACATTCGGTCGCATGACATTTCTTCCGTCTTTTCAATGACTTTCACAAAAGAAGGAAATTTTGTGTGTTTCAGTTCGACGGGAGAAATCTACAAATACGAGCAACCGCTTGCTGGCGATCTTACAGCTACAATGGTCGTCAGAATTCCAGTGATGGTCACCACACTACCGGAATTTAACATCGACGAGTTTGGAGAGTTGTGCGCCTTCACTACGCAAGACACCGTCGGTGTTGTCAACTACAACACCCCAACCATTCAAAGGTGCGTTTGGAAGGGCAACGACGAAACAGTGTTTCCAACGTGTATCTGCGCTAGTGAGGAGACTGGAAAGGTCGTTGTTGGATTTTCAAATGGAGTTGTGGGCCAATTTGACAAGGAAGGTGAGATGAGCGAAGTGTGGAGACATAAATACCCGGTACGCGGTGTCGGGTTTTTTGATACAAAGAGCGTCAGCGTCGACGAGAATGGAGAAGTCATCATCGGAAGTGAACAAAGCGACTTGGGGTGTTTTGTACAGACAGCAGAAATCAGATTTGGGAAGTTACTTGTAGTGACGCGAAATCAAGTTTTGTTGTTTGACGATAAGTTGCGAATTGTGGCGGATTATGCTGGAAGAGAGGGGATTGTGCAGGCAAAGTTTTCAGTTTGTTATTATTTATAGCAATACAAATAGATTTTAATATAATATAATACTTGATAGAAAGAATATTAACTTAATTTCTTCTAATTATAATTATAATAATTAATAACTATTATAACTATTTAGTTATTATAAATAATTAATTATAATAATATTATAAATAATATTATAAATTATAATTATAGGTTGAATGTTAATTGATACGACCATATGCAGTAAATAGCATTGTTGCGTTATTGAATAAAAATAGTGCTATTTTTATTTGTCATTTTATTAAATAAAGTAAATAAACAATTATTGAGAGAGTAATTATGTCGAAAAAGAGAGATAACGTGAAGGGCAACGGACAACATGTCATAACATTCAACAATGAGTACGTCGACGTTTTGGAAAGTCAACATTTGGGAGTGGAAACAACACAAGTCGTGTCGAACATGAAACGCATATTTAAATTGCCGTCAAATTCGTTTGGTGTGTTTGTCTCTCGGCACCACCCATTGCTGTTTGTTGTGAATTTCTATGGCGGAATTTCAATCATGTTCTGCCAAGAGTTCGACAAAAACAGACAGAAAATGTCAGTTTATTGATTGTTTGTCTATTGTTTAATAGTATTAATTTCTATTAAAACATTTGATATTAATTATTCAAATGAATTTTTTGGATATAACTTGTTATTTAATTGTTATAATTGAATTACCAATTACTACAAATATATTGTTATTGTTAGTATTATTAGTAATAATAACTTAATAGTCCCATAATTATTTAATTTTGTAAATAGCAGTGGCTATATAATAAATATTAAAAATCGAAAAAGCGAATAACTTTGTTTTGAGTTTAGTATACAAATTCAAATATATTCACTTTGAGAACGTGTCTCTACGTCCTGTTAGTTGATGTACAATTAACATTATAAAAAGACAAGATTTTTAATATAAAGTCAATTGTTATTTATTGTGGAGCAAATTTTTGAGTCAAAAGTTACATATAAGTTTATTTAAAAATTATTACATTTATTACATTGATGATACTGTTTTTAACAATGAATAAAAATCGTGATTTTGAGTGTTTAAAATTACCATTTCACAATGTTAATAACTAAAAAACACAAATAAATCAAAGAAATATTTATGATAATTATTATTATTTGTTCCATTAATTTGTTTGTTGTTTTTTGTTTTTCATCATTACCAAAATATAAAAACAATTAGTTTGTATACATTTGTTATATTTACAATTATAATTCGATGTTTATTTTAAATAGTAGCACCAGATTTATCCAATTAATACATCATAAGATAAAAATCAAATTTATACGACAATCAAATGTATATAAAAACAACAACAAAACATTAACAAATAATGTAATATTTTTGCAAATCATCAATGACCTTATCTATAGTTGGTCTGTCTTCGGGTTTCGATGCCCACGTCTTCTGTATCAATTCAAACAATTGTTGATCCATATCAATAGGCTTTTCCTTTCTTTTTCCAGAAGAAACAAAATCTGCAATAATCCACGCAAACTTGAATTCGTTCTTTGGAAAGATATCACCCCAAATAAACATTTCATACATTGTAATAGCCAACGAGTAGATATCAGCCGGCTTTTTGTATTTTTCCTTTTTTAAGACTTCCTCTGACATATAAACTGGTGTTCCAATACCCTTTGTGAAAGTCATGTTAGTTGTGAGTAAATTGATGTTTCGACTGCTTCCAAAATCAGTCAGCTTCCCATTGACATTCATCTCATTTTCCAATGAAACGACAAGTATGTTGTCTGGTTTAATGTCTCTGTGTAGTATCCCATTCTCATGCAAATATAATATCCCTTTAGAAGTATCTATTATGATTTTCATTTTAATTTTTAATCTAATCTCATTAGACTTTTGGTGTTTCATCAAATCTCTCAAAGACCCGTATAAAGCAAATTCGGTGACCATGCATATGTGTTCAGGAATAAAACAAGCGCCATAGAAGTGGATGATAAACTCACTTCTAAACTTGTCTAACATCGTTACTTCATTCTCAAATTCTTCAACTGCCTCTTTAGTAGCATTCAGACTTTTGAGCTTTTTAATTGCTACTTCACTCCCTCTGTATATTCCTTTGTATACAATTCCAAAAGAGCCTTCTCCTATTTTAATGTCTTCTTCTAATTCTCGATAATTCAATTTAGTTGACTGGACTGTTGTCGTCTCTATATTTAATTTCTCAGTGTATTGGATATCATTTACCAAATCAAGACCAATAACCAACACATTTTCTTTGATTTTACACGAGCACAAGGGCTTGATGAATATCTCAAACTCACACGCTTCTCCTTTCTTTAGTGTTACTATTGAAGGCACTGTTCGTATTTCATAACAATCACACCCTTCTATAACACTAAATTGCACTTTTAAATGGTGTTTTGATTTGTTTCCAATACATATCAAGTCGCGAGATTCTTCATCGACTGGAATATAATCATCTTCTTCTGTGTTAAAACAAATTGTTGTTTTATTACAACACAACACTTTGTTGATGGATATCATTGCAATGTTCGAACGAGACATTTTGAAAACACAAATATTATGATATTTTTCCTCTTCTTTATTGTGAAGAATTAATATAATAATAGTTACTATTATAGTTGATACTACAATTTTAATTAATATTAGAACAGAAATTGGAATGCCAATCACAACACCAAGTTTGACTGAATCAACACAACTGTCACCGTCGTCTGAAGCTTTATGATTTCCTTCACACTTCACACACTTTGAATTTAGAGCTGACACACAGAATTCAACTTTTGTGAAATAAAGACATTGTGAGTCAACCAACACATATTCTCTCTCGTTACATATTGTACACACACTTTCACTCTCACATGATGTGCAATTTGAAGAACATTCATAACACTTGTAATTTGATAAGAAATGACCAGACACACACCTCTCACATCCAGACGACGATGATAACCCACAATTTGTGAGTGTTGTATTTGATTCACACAATTTGCCTTCACTTGGGATGTTGAAATAGCCGTCTTTGCATGCAAGACACTCGTAACTGTTCACACAAAGTGCACACGACTCATCACATTGTGTACAGCTGATACCCTCTCGATAATACCCACTGTTACAGATCGCACATCCACCTCCACCAGGCAATGCAATGTTACAACTTTCTTGTAATGCACCAAGTGATTTGCATGTCATGTCAGCACTCAGATAAAAGCCATCTTTGCAAGAAGTGCAATAAGTTGTGTTGTAACAAGTTAAGCAGTCGTTTTGGCATTGAACACACTCGTTGTTGATGTTGTAATACCCATCAGCGCAGTGTTGGCATCCTTTGTTGTTTCTGATTTGACAGGAAGTCTCTGTTGCTGTTTTTGTGTTTGTTTTGAGTTTGTCGTCTTCATCAAATGTCTCGGCACAAATTCCACCCTTCAATTTGAATGCATCAAGACATTCTACACATTTGTTGTTCTTTGCACTGTATCTCTTGCAATTTGTGACTGTTGTGGATTCTATTGGAACACAGTAATCGTACTTGTCTTCTACATTCTTTGCGTCTGTCTGGTAATACCCCTCACTACATACAACACACCCGATTCTATTTGCTTTGGTGCATTTCACATTGTTTGATGAAATACACCAATTTTCTTTATAATATAAATATCCAACAGAACACCTTTTGCATTTTCCACCTTCACAATTTTCACAATTTGTTGTTTTGCATCCAGAGCATTTTCCTTTTACTAATTCTTTGTTTGTTGATTTGCACTTATTACAAAATCCAGATTTCACCAATTCACAATTCTCATCCAAACTACATTTTGAGTTCACAGTTCCATAAATTGCTTCATATTTACATTTGAGCGCATTTTCAATATTGTTATTTGTCACACAAACTTCATTATATTCATTACATTTGACACAACTGTTATTATACCCCACATTCATATTATTATAACATTGAAATATATTACCATTCCTTATTAATTCTTGATTGTTTTTATTTGAAATACAATTTCCATTCACATTTGTGAAGTTGTCGTTGCAATTGACACAAATAGAAAGACTTTTTACAACTTTTTGATATTTACAGTTTGATCCAATTGATTGGCAATCGGAGTTGATTGAAAGTTGGTTATAACAATCACAAGAAGTCGTTGTAATATTTGAAAAATTATCACATTGAGTTGTTTTAATACAAACACCATCACTCAAAAAGTTATTTTCATTACATTTTAAACACTTTTCTTTTGATATTTGTCTGAAACATGTAACATTATTTTGTTCACAATTTAGTGTTTTATTGTTGTAATATTTACTCTCTCCACAACTCACACAGTTTCCATTGTCATCTGTTGTGTATGGCTCAAAGCACTCAACACATCTTGTTTTACCAACAGATAAGGAAGTGCATTTCTTACAATTTGGAACACTTTTGAAGCAATTGGAACATTCATATTCACTGATTTTATATTCACCTTCGTCACATTCAACACACTTCCCTTCTAAATTGATATGAAAAGGGTCTTTACATTGTTGACATTTCTTCTCTGTTTGGCTACATTTCAAACAATTTCCATTTATTGAAAAACATTGCGAACAACTTCCATTTTCTTCAACATAATATCCAATTCCACACTTCACGCACTTCTTTTCAAATAAAGGTGAACACGTGTTACAGTTTTTATCAAACGAATTGCAGCTCTGACACGTTTTACTTGTATTTGATATGAAAATGTAATTTTCTAAACACCCAGTACAAATACCATTTTCGGTATTACAATATCCTCCACATGTTATATCACACATTTGACATTTCTTGGTGTTATTGTTATTCACTGGATAATAACCTGTGTTACACAGAATACAATTTCTTGAAGCGTCTGTGGCACACGTTATACAATTTAAGTCAAATTCTGTGCACTCTTCACACTCTCCGGAGTCATTGTTTTTTAATACTTTGTTGTAAGTACATGCTGTACACTTCCCGGTTGTGCCATCACACAGTTCTCCACATTCTGAAGAACAATCGGCACATTGTCCTTCAGAATTTGCATACTTTCCATTTGTGCATGTGACACACTGTCTTATACCATTTGCTGCACATGTCACGCAATTTTGGTCCAATTGATTGCAATCGATACAAATACTTTTATTTGTTAATGAAAATACTTTGTTAGTTGCACATGAAGTACAAAAACCAGTGTTTGTGTCGCAACTTCCACCACATGTCAAATCACATGGCTTGCACTTCCCATTTACAACATAATACCCGGGTTTACATACAACACAATTTCTTGTGTAATCCAATGAACAATTTAGACAATTTAAATCAAAAGAAGAACAACTTTGACACTTCAAGCTGCTTATTTCATACAACACATAATTGGTCTGACATCCAGTACAATAACCATTTCTTGTATCACATTTACTGTTACAAGTTGAGTCACAATCACTACATGTAGTTTCATTTTTATTTAATTTGGGATATTTTCCTTCTTGGCACTCAATACACTTTCTGTCAAATGAAGTTGAACACAAAACACAATTTGTGTCAAAAAGTGAACAATTGTCACACTTTGTTGATTCTATTTTTGTGAACACAAAATTGCTTTGACAACTCTTACATACCCCAGTGGTAGATTCACATTTGTTGTCACAAGTGTAGTCACATTCAATACATGTACCACTTTTGTTGGGATAAAAGCCATCATCACACTCAACACATTTCTCTGTAAAATCAGAAGAACATTTTACACAATGTGACATTATTGTATTGCAATTAACACAATTCGGACCTTTTGGAGTCGTAAAAATAGTGTTTGTAACACATTTTGTGCAAGTCCCATTTTTACTGTCACATTCAAGACAATTTAAATTTAAATCACAACGAAAACACACACCATTTGAATCGGGATAAAACCCAGTTTTACACACAATACACTTTCTTTCACTAGTTGAGCAAACATCACAATTTTCATCAAAATGTACGCATAACTCACATTCCAAATTTTTGGGTTTTTTCAATGTGAAGCCACTTTCACAGATCAAACATATTCCATTCGTTGTATTACAATCAAAACAGTTTATTCCACAATTAACACACTTCCCACTGCTTGTTTCCGGATACATTCCTTTTATACAATTCTCACATATTCGACTTGAATTTCTTGAACATGAAATACAATTTGTATCAAATGTGTTACAAAGTTCACACATTCTATTATCAGTTTCACTATATATGTAATTTTCATCACATTCAATGCATTCTCCTGTTAAAGAACCACATTTAGAACAGTGTTCTCCACATGAAGAACATCTTCCATTTGTATCAACATAATAATTTGTTTCACATTGAACGCATTTTCTATTTCCATTGACGTCACATTGTAAACAGTTTTGGTCGAAGTTCTGACATAATTCGCAGGTAGTTGAATTTTTGAGTCTGAGGACATACTCATCCACACATGAATAACAATGTGAAGTTGTCGAATCGCACATTCCAAGACACGTTTTATCGCATTCAACACATTTAAACGGAGATAAAGTACTTGGGAAAAGACCGGAAGTGCATTGATTACACTTCCGAATGGATGTAGAACACACTTCACATTTGTCATCAAAATCGGTGCAACTTACACATGAAATACTGTCACTGATATTTTTAGTATATCCACTCGCACACTCACTGCAAATTCCAGTTACACTGTTGCACTTCCCATACGCACAACTTTGATCACATGATGTACACTTCCCATTGGTAGTTGGATAAAATGCACTTTGACACTCATAGCATTTCCGTTCACCATTTGGATAACACTGACCACAATTGTTATCAAAATCTCTACACTGAATACACGACTTACTTTTAGGGTTGGAGAAGACTAAGTTGCTTGAACAGTTAGTACATATACCAGTGACATCTGCACATGCACCTCCACATGACCAATCACATTGCACACATTGTCCAGCATTTAAATAGTACCCCGCCAAACATTGAGTACATCCAATATAATTAGAGCAGACTTTACATGCATAGTGACACATAGTACACTCATAATGATCACTAAATTTAGATAAATAATAGTTTGTTGAACATTGGGTACAATTTTTGACGAAGTGATCACATTGCATACAATTCGACATTGCACTACATGTATTACACGAAGTCCCTTCTAAGAAAAACCCAATGTAACATTCTAAACACGTGTTTGGATTTGTTGGAGAACAATATTTGCAATTTCCAGAGTAACATGTTGGAACACAAATGTTGGAGTTCATGTGGTAATTTGACTTACAAGAAGAGCACGTTGAAAATTTATATGACGACAAAACGCAGGACTCGGTAACACAATTTGTACCGCAACAATTAAAAGAAGAATCTGATAACACAAGAGAATTATAGGAGTCACAAATAATGGAACAAGTCGACCGAAAAGAGTCTGATTCTCGTGAACAATAAAAATCAGTGGTGTTACAGCGCACAATTTGATAACCAGGGGAGCAAAGAGAACACCCACTGTAGTTATAACTATTACTTGACAAACACGTGAGACAATTTGAAATTTGCAAATTTCCACAAGTGAGTGTTGTTGTTGTTTTATATTTCGATTTTTTCGCTTATTAATTGTATTTATAGATTGTAGTTCATTTTCTTCGAAGTATTTATAAGTGACATTTTTATAAATTTTACTTGTTGTAGTGATACTCAAAGTTGCTTGATTTAAAACACACTTTAAACTCATAACATCGTCTGATACAGACACTTTGAAATTTTCAACTAAATTACACTTAATAGTCGGGTGAGTCACTTTACTCACAAAGAGTGTGTTGTTCTCAAAAAAGAAATTATCACTAGTACATTGATACTGGACTTTTGAAAAGCACTCCACCTTATCTTCTCCACTTTGGCACCAATATAATGAGTAACTTAGTGCAAAGAAAAAGGTAAGCAGGGTGCAACAAATCATTTGAACAAATTGATTTTATTTGAAGACTTTGTAAATTCTTAAATACCTTTTTGATTTTTAAATACTCTTATTTAAGCAATTATGTTTTAATTTCCACAAAATAATTGATTTAATATCTTAAAATGTGTTGTTATGTTGTTGATGAATATTTACAATAAAATATCTTGTCGTGTAAACGTCAGTTCTATTTTCAAATGAAATGGTAAATAATGAGCAACTTATTTTGTTGTAACGAATGTATTGTTGTAAGTTTAACTAAGAACGTTTAAAATGAATTTATTATTATCGAAAGAATGATACTATATTGTATTATATAATAAATAATATTTTACTAGTTACACTAATACATTATCGATACAATAAATTTTCATGTTTTCGACAAAATTACATACAATTTAGAAATTCAACAAAAGACCAAATTAATAAAAATTTAAAAATTTTAAAAATATTCCAGATCTTTAATTGATAATTTGTAGGGTTTTTTTAAAATGAATTATAAAGATAACAATTAATATGGCTTGTTTTTAATAAAAATACAATAAATATATAATAATACAATTGGTTGTATTCAGTTGAATTTTTAATTAACAGTTTAAAAACTAAAATATACAATTGTTAACTATATCAAACTAATTGTTATTGTTTAGTTGATATTTAATATGCAGTTTTATTGTTTGAAAATCCGATTGAAAATATTTATTAAATTGTAGCATTTTTTTGTCGATTTCTTTTTCATATGGAATTCGATTTCGGTCTTTTTATGTTTCGTTTTTTAATTCTAAAATAAAAGTGGATATGTTTATTTTTAAATTATAACCCCTAAAATGTCATTTTTAAATAAAACTTCTTGTTGACTATATTTGTTTTAAGTTTTTTCTATCATTAAAAATTAATATAAAATGGTTAATATTTTTTTAATTATGTGTGTTATATGGTTTCATTTTTAATATAATGATTATATTTAAAATGAATTTAAATAATCTACTAACACGGCTATTAATTAGATTTATAAACAAGTTAATCAACCTCAACAATTTTAAAATTTTAATTTGTTGTGTTACTCAAATTGAACATATTATATATGTATGTAAATACTACATGTATTTTGTATACAAAAAAGGTTTTAATTATGATTTACCTTCTCGATAATTCGATTCGGTTTTCATAGCTAGGAGTAGTTATTTGCCATAACCATCTCTTCGCCCCCATTGGTTCTACATGTATTTTGTATACAAAGTAATATACAGATAAAATAACTAAAAATAGATATTTATTTAAACTCAATTTTAAATATTAAATACTTATCAATTAACAACATGATAAATTTTTTTTGAAAATAATCAAAATATTGATATTAGAAACACGATTTATTTTTATTTAAATTATAAATATAATAATTAATTTATGCTTAAAATATTTCAAATATTAATGCAACAACACCACACATATATTTCATAATAATAGCAACAATTTTTGGTTTTAAATGATAGAATATAACTCAGTCCATAACAATAATTTGATATTACACTTTTATAATTTAAAAGACATTCTAAACAATAGAACCTATAATTATCTTTCAATTTAATAAATATTCTATTAATATCAAACTATACAAAAAAAACAATAAAAGAGCACCAAAAAACTGTCGTACATTAGAAAATAGTCGTACACATTGTTTTAAGCTATTTTTATGTATAAAGTCGGGTTTTTATTTTTTCAAAACCCATTTTTTTTCCTGATTGTTTAGTCAAATTTTATATGTGAAAAATTATTCCCGATTTTTTGGTTTGTTTGATACTAAAAACACAAGTGTACGACAATTTTCTGTTGGTCTTTACACTTTCTGAAATAAAATTCAATTAAAAATCGTTATTTCAAAGCATTCGACTCAATTCAGCAGCACGTCGATGTATTACCACTGTTTTTATTCACATTAACAACTTCAACGTGTTCGTCTGCTGGTATTGGGAGGGTGCACAAATTCTCAGCAATCGACGCAAACAACTCGGAAATGTTAATGTTAGTCTTTGCGCTTGTTTCAAAGCAATTGCAGTGCAACTCCTCTCCCTTCGCAAGGGCTTCTTTCTGTTGCACTTCTCTTGTTTCCATGTCAATCTTATTCCCAACTAAATAGACAAAGATATTCCCTTTCTCTAACTCCTTCAAGTCCTTCACCCACCTCGAAACATTTTCAAAAGTCTGTCTGTCTGTTTCGTCAGGCTTTTTATATTCAAATTTAGGGGGTTTGAGTTAAAATATTATATCTTAGGCAAATTGAGTAAAACATGAGAGTAATATTGTCTAAAATATCATGTATCAATGAAAATATTGGTCGATATTAATATAGTTTAAAAAAATTAAAACAAACCATTAACATCATATACGACTACAGCAGCAGCACTATCACGGATATATGATGGGATGAGTGATCGATAACGTTCTTGCCCCGCTGTATCCCCTTTTTGTGAATCGCCGTTATATCCCAAAACATATATAAAAAATGAACTAATGAAGAACTAATAACATAAACATTTTGTGGTGTTGTTATAATAACAAACAAATTTGAAGTTGTATGGTCTTGCCATTTTTACACACAAGTGACTACTTGTTAATAAACAATTATAAAATTGAACCAAATTCTATTTTATAATACAAAAATGAGAATTCAAACTTTTGTTGAAAAGTCCGTACCAATTGTTGCCTATTTGTCATTTTTAAACCTTTTTGTCACAACAATAAATACTTTCAAAAAATTTCGAACAAAATATATTTTTGTGTTCCAAATAAGTAAAGCAAAGAAGTCACGCATGTTTTTTTTTAAATTCAGTCATAGATTAATTCAACGAAATGTTTTTATTGGACAACATTAATTTTTAACACATAATTTTGCTGATAAAATTTAAGTATTATAGTTCGTTAATTTATTTGATATTTTTCCCTTGTTAATTTCGGCAATCGGTTGAAAAAAGTAAATTTTAAGTTCCAATTGTTTTTTTGGGAAATACAATTGAAAGTCATACTTAACAAACTTCGTAGCCATTGTTAAAATCTCCGGTCATAAACCGCCCTATTATACACGTTTTACCAACTGTTTGTTATTTTTTGAAATTAAAAATGTGTGCAGATCACCGAGAACAAACCCGAGGAATCTCCTAAAAAGACAATTTTGTGTTTCATCATCGCCGCCATCTTTTTTTTCTTTAATGCTTTTTCTGTTTTTTTGTCGAATTATTTTTAATAGTTTTTTTATAACTTTTCCCGATTGTGTGTGATGAAATCGTATGTTATATTTTTTTATCTAAATATGAAAATTATGTTTTTTAAAAGAATTTTTTCTACTATTCGATTTGGTTAATTTTTTTCAAAATGATGTTATTACTAAAATAAATAAATTGATTGTATTATATCATTAATTTATTTTTATTTAAATATATGGTACTATTTTATTTAAAATCAAACAAAAGTTTTTCAGTTCTCAAAATTTAAATGGTAAAAAAAATAAAAAAATTTAATTGTTATTTACTTAAAACAATTAATAAAATTTACTAATAAATTTAGTTAATATTTATATTGTTTTTTATTTATTTTCTCTAAGAACAGAAATTTCTGTTTAATTAATTGTTTGGTATTTTTTATTACATTTTATAAAACAAATCATTCCATAAGTTATTGTATTTTCTAATTATAATAATAATTATTAAATAATAATAAATTATAGTTTTATTTAAAATAAAAACAAGTCTTGTTATTATTGTTGTATTAAAAATTCAAATCAAAGTTTGTATGGTAGGACCACTTTAAAATTAACAACTATATTGTGTAATTGTTTCTATTATATAATATAGTTATTAAAGACATTATCATCAACTTTGCCAATAAGTATTTTACAATAAAAATATTCTTAGTATATTATTATATTATTAATAAAAAATGTTAAAATTCAACTATATATTAACAATTTTAATAATATTTGAATTTAAAAAGGATATTTATTGTGAAAATATAACATGAAATTAGCATATTATTGTTTTTATTTATTTTTAAATGATTTTTAAATGATAAAATGAATGATAATCATATATAACATTTGTTTAAAATTGTATCAATTATTTTTGAATAAACACGCTTTCAACTAGAATAACAACGTCTTGTATTGTTATTCTTTTTAAAATATTTTCTTCCCAACACTTTTCTATTATTTCAAATTGTTGTTTGGTTATACACTCAAGTTTGTCAAGTCTTTTTCCTGAAATGACAAATTCAGCAATTTTCCACGGAAACTTAAAAGTCTGTTTATCATAAGCTTCTTTCCATCTCAAGCATTCATACATAGTAATAGCAAAGGAGTAAATATCTGCACTTTTAGTGTATTTGTCTTGTCTTAAAACCTCAGGAGCCATGTACACTGGAGTGCCGATACCTTTTGTGAAAGTCATGTTTGTCATCATCATGTTGATATTTCTACTTGATCCAAAGTCGGTCAACTTAGCATTAACTTGTTGATTCAATTCCAATGAAAAGACGAGTATGTTGTCTGGTTTGATATCTCTGTGTAATATCCCGTTCTCATGCAAATACAATATTCCTTTTCCTGCATCCAACAGCATTTTGACACGTATTTTGTTTGATATTTCATCACTCTTCTTGTGTTTGATCAAGTCCTGTAAAGATCCATATTCTGCAAATTCGGTGACCATACAAATGTGATTTGGTATAAAAACAGCACCATAGAAATGTACTATATTCTCACTTCTAAACTTGTCTAACATATTCACTTCTTTCTCAAACTCAACAATGCTACTTTCTTCATTTTTGAATTCTTTCATCTTCTTGATAGCCACCGTATTCCCTCTGAATGTGCCTTTATATACAACACCAAAAGACCCTTCGCCGAGTTTCTTTTCTTCTATTAGTTCATTATAATCTATTCTTGTTGATTGTTGTGTAGACCCATATATACTAATTGTATTGTATTTAACTTCTTCGTTTTTAAGCAATTGTGAAACTATTTGAATTGATTCGGATATATTACAAGTGCAAACTGGTTTAATGTATATAGAAAATTCACAAGCATAACCTCTCTTTAAAGTTACAATTTTAGGAACGACTTTAATTGAGTATTTGTCGTTTTTCGAAATTGAAGTTATTTGTAGTTTAACAATACTTCTGTTTTCATTACCAACACAAAAAAGTTGAGAAGTTTCTTTGTTAACTGGGATTTCATCAACATCCAAATTAAAATTAATTTCTTTTGAAGAAACACAAACTCCACCCAATAAAGTTATAAAATGTACGTTTGATCTTTTCATTTCAAAAACAGTCGTTATATTGTCTCTTTTCTTTTGAATGTTTAACAATATTTTCTTTATTACCAAAGTTATTATTAAGATAAATGTCATTAATAACAGTATTACAAACAAAAGACAAAGTAGTATAACCCACCAAACTACATGTTTAATACACAACTTTCCATCATCGTTTGGTATATTCCAAAATGTACATTTGGAACATTTGGAATGAGTAATTTTCATACAATTTGCAATTAAAGAAAGACCAACACAACTTCCATTTGTTGTTAATATCAGGGTTTCATCACAAGATGTACAACTATTTTTATTAACACATGTTTGACATTTTTGCCCACACAAAGAACACTCATTCGAATTAAACATATAATAATTCTTCTTACACTTGGAACAGCCGTTTTGTGTCACTTCGACATCGCAACCTTCTATTGTATATCTTGGAAGACAATCTCCAAAACTGGTTTTATAATTTGTTGAATTACAAACTAGACAATTTTCTTTGTTGTTACATGTTAAACACTTTTTGTCACATTCTAAACAATCAAGACCAACTCTGAAATATCCTTCTTTACATTGAATACAACCACTTCCAAATGATGCAAATTGAATGCATTTACCCGCCAACTCTACATTAGATATACATTTATTATTGGAAACAAACGTCCCAATTGGACAACTCAAACACAGAGTTGAATGACCAACACATGTCAAACAACTTGAATCACACTTTTCGCATGTTTTTGAGGTATCATCATCATAATAAGAATTTATACATCTTAAACATCCACCACTGTTTTGAATTTCACAATAATCGATTTTATTTGTTTTACAAGAAAAATTAAAAACGAAAAATTCATTTTCACATTCAACACACTTTGAATTTAAAATGGTTTTACAATTGTTCGAGTCGAATAAATATTTCCCGTTTTCATCTTTTAGGTTCTTACATTTATTTGTTTCACATTTCATATCATCGCTCATTAAACTTGTTGAATTACATTGAGTCTCTTTTCCATTTTCACACTGAATTGTATTTGAGTATGTTATGGCACAATTAATACACATACTTGTTGTTAAATTAGTCTCGACATAATATCCATTTTGACATGAAATTATGTTCCAGTTGCTAACAACTTCAGTGTATATATTTTTATATTGACATTTGCCATTATTATTGACAAAACCATTGTGATTATCACATATTTGACACTTCCCATTAACATTGAATAAAATACAATCACTTGAATTGAAACATTTTCCATTTATCAAAAGGAATCCGATTGAACATTTTAAACAACGATCAGAATTCGTTATTAGGCAATTTGATGAATTGACGCATTCTCCATTCATTAAAATAAAACCGAGTTTACATGATATACACCGTTTTGTGTTAAAATGACAATATTCACATTTTAAATTGTTACAGTAATTTTGATATTCACATTGTTGAGTTGTTTTGTTGTATAATCCATACCCACAATTAAGTCCGTAAACTATTTTAAATTCATCTTTTGTATTCAGTGCAGCATTGTATTTAACATTACCAATAAACAAATCTGTTACTGATAGAAAAAGAACTGTCTTGGTTAGTTCATTTAAACTAATTTCTAAACTTTTGTTTGTAACTATTTCAACAACAATGGAATCTGTTTTAACAAATGAAATTTGTGCATTATCGATTGTTGCACTTTCATCACCAAATTGGTCCTCGTTTTTCAATTTTACCAAACCAGAAATGTTCTTGTTATTTTGATACTGTTCTGTATCAATTCTTAATTGAGTAATATTTTTCAAAGGAGTAATATACCAATCTTCTAAATCCAGTGGACAATAAGGCTCAACGTAACTTATTCCAAATATGTTATCTTTGTACTTGATATCACTGACATGGCAAAATATCTTTTTAAAAGAACCAATTCTCAATAATTTTCCGTTTAATAACATTGAGTAAGTTTTATCGGTTTTGAATGTTCCATTAAAACCAGTTTCGGAGTATATAAAATCGAAATTAGTTGAATTTAAATTGATCCACTGGGAAAATAGAAAACTGTGTGTAATTATTAAAGGAAAATCTCTTATTGTTCGTTCATAAGAATGTATAGTGAACATACCCATTTGGGTGTTGTTTTTCACAATAATTAACGAATTTCCTGATACCGAACACTCCCCCACTTCCCATATCATTGTAAAGCTGTTGATCACTGGGAAATTTGAAAGCGTCTGAAGTCCATTCATAACTATTTTTCCTTTTGTACTAGTTTTCAAATAGTTTGTATGAAAAAATGCATTATCAAATAACGATAAAGTACCACCAACAATAGTGCTGTTGGTTGTAACGTCACTACTGTCTTTCATTTGGATTGTAATATTATCATCGGTTCTTAAGCTTTTGGTTATTATCATTTGTGTGTGGTCATTCATAACTAAAAATGCATTATCTTTTAAATATAAATCGGTTATGGTTTGTATTGTAGAGTCTCCCCTCATTATTAAAAACGAGTCACTATACATAAAAATGTTTACTGAATTCATAAAAGATTTATTTTTCATTTCTACATATGTATTATCAGTAACAACAATTTGACTCCAAAAATACAATATTCCATTTCCTTCAAGAAATACAGAAGAATTGGAACAAAGATATAAAGTTTGTGTAGAGTTAAGACAGCCATTGTCTTTTATCATCAAAGTAGAATTCCCTTTTTTGAATTGCATTGTTTTTGTGTGAATAGTAGAAGTACCTTCAATTGAACAAAAAGTGTTGTTATAAAAATACGTTTCATTAAAGTTAACAGTTGAGTTGTTTTTCAAAAAGAGAATAGAGTTGTTATTAAAACAACTAGATAAATATATTGTCAGTGTTGCATTATCTTCAAGACGAATTTGAGAATCTCCTGAAAAAGTGGCTTGATTATTTAATTTCATAATTGAACGATCATGAAGATGTATTTGAGAATTGGAATTGAAATATGTTTTCTTCGAAACTGATATACTACTTGATGAATTCATTTCTATCACTCCAAATCCATCAACATTTAAAAATTGTTTGATACTCAATTGTGCATTCCCTGTTGTGGACAATAGTGATTCTTCGGTTGAACAATTTGTAATTGAAAGGTTTCCATTAAAAGTGCAACTATTAGCCAACTCAAATGAATCACAAAGTGGACTTTGAAATAAACAAGCAACGCCCACAACAACGGATATAAGAAAGCAATACACATTTACATGTAAACGAGTGGTAAATAAATTGACAAGTATCATAATATTTAATTAAAGTTATTTGCTGGTCAAATATTTGCAAAAAAGTAAAAACACGTTTTTTATAATAGAAAAATTACTTTTTAAAAGTTTTTTATGAATATTAATCATATATATATAATGTATTTATATATAGTGGGTCTGTAATTTTATTTTTGAAAAATTGTGTTCAAAAAACACATGAATAATTGGAAGTCAAATATGGTTATCATTTGTTATAAGTTTTATTCTATTTTTTAAACATTATTGTGAAAAAAATACAATCTTGTTATTAAACAATAAAAACCACAAACTTTGTATAAAAACAAAATTACATTTTTGCATTATAAATATAAAATAAAAATTGACTGAGACAAAAATTACTCAAAAAATTAATCAAGAAAATATTAAAACAGTTTTATTTTATTAAATTACTATATTGTTATTTAACTGATATTCAAAATCAAATGTATTATCAAATAACAAGTTTTATTAAATAAATTATCAAGTGACTATAAACCAGGTTTAAATAATTTTTATCGTTTTTTAAATAAAATTGGGATTTTAAATGAGTTTTATTATTTTCTCAATAATTGATTTTGATTTACACTCAAAAATATTTGTTTTTGTTGTGCGCACAACACATTTATCAATATAAAAACATAATTTAATACAAAATATATTGATGGGTTTATTAAAACGTGACTATACGTCGTCTTAATTGATCTTTTTAACTGTTAGTATTAATAACGTTAGTTTAATACATGAAATTGTTTTAGAAACAAAATTGTTAAGATTTTCAATTTCATTAATAACCAACTGACTGAACACTTAAAAATTTTTTTCATATTAATTCAAATTTTTGTTGTAAATAACATTATTTTCATGACAACTTCTTTTGCTTTGACATCCAATATTTTGTTATTTGTAAATAGTTAATTTGATATTATATTCCAATATCACTTTTTAGTAATATTATCGCAACATCCATGATAATATGTTTTTTGTTTACATTTAACTAGTTTTAAATTAAAAAATGATGTGAAACAAAAACTTGTTTTTTAATAAGAAAATGTAACATTGAACATAACCTGCATAATATCAAAATTATACATAATAACGTTACAAATTAAAACATATTTGTATTTGTAATTGAGACATACACATATATTTACATGTGGTATAAAAATCAATATCTTGCTGTTTATGGGCTTGAAGTAATTGCCATTCTAAAACATTTAGAATGTTTTAGAATGGATATATATTATCAACTTTGGGTTACAATACGGTTTAAATAATTAACTTATTGTTCAATTTATACTCATATGTATTGAAAAATATAGTTTTACATTTCATAAACCTTTAATTTATCGACTAATGATAATAAAATGCATTTGAATAACTATTTAATTTAAAACTGTTTATTAATATATAATAAACAAATAACAACAAAACTACACATCAAAACCCATTTAAACATATATAATGGCATTTCATTTTATTGTGATTTTTTAAATGATAAATTAATAATTAACACCTGTTCATAATCAACTTTTTCTATTTTTAATCAAAACAATAAACTATTTATTGTTTTGATTTTTATGGAAAAAATTTTATAATTTCATAAAAAACTTTATAATTAACGAAATATATAATTAATCATATATTTATTATTTATTTACCAATTTTTGATTTGTTTGATAAAGTAAATTATTGTAATTATTAATTTATAATATTTAATTGTTATTATTAATAAGTATTGCACACAAGAATTAAGAATTGTTATATGACGAAGTGTGTATAAAACAGATGTAATTTGTAATAATATTTAACCAAATGTACATATAAATGCATATGAAGTTATTCCTTAATACGGTTTTGTCCGTTTTATTACATAAGAACAAGAAAAAGCAAATGAACAATATGGTGTCACTTTTTTAATAATATTCATGAGGGATTCTTAATTTTAAACTATTAATTATTTATCATTTAGTAGTAAAATAATTATAATTCAAACAAATAAAAAAGCGAAAACAGAACTTTTGATTCATGAATACATTTTTAAAAGAAAATTTGCTCCTTTCGAAATGTCAAGTTGGTTGTCTTTTTCCATTTTCACATACTTTTGATTATGTCAGACAGTTTACGAATAAATGGGTAGAATTATTAACAATTAATCGGGTTTAATAAGTAAACATAATAAGTGAAAGCATATTTTATCCCAAAAACATCTTCCAATGATTCTATTAATAGTTTGATCTATTTATTAAACTATTATCTCGCATTTTCAACTTTTTATTACCAAAATGTTTCTTCCTTGTATTTCCCAGACTATTTTTTAACATTTCAAATATAAAAGCATCATTTTTTTCGTATTTGGGGTGAAGTAAACGAGCAGAGTGTTTGATGAAACAATACATTCCAAATTATTATTTTGTTTTTTTGTATTACGATTGGACTCTCCATATAAACGGGATTATTATCCAAATTCTTAACTTTGAACTTATTTAATTATTTTTGGACACTCTGTTTCAATGAGCCAATAATTCAGAATCAAAACATCCACGTTTTCCAAACAAAAAAATTCCAACGTATTTTTTTTCTTTTCTCGCCATTTATTTCTTCGTTTTCGGGATTATTTGGTCAACTTTCCTCTTTGCAAATCCATCATTCTCTTCGAAAATTTTTATTAATTATTTTGCACCTTTTGAATACTTTTCAACCAAACAAATAATTCGTAAAAAAAAGTTTGTTCGACACAAAATTCCTATATAAACCGAATACTTTCAATTCAAAAAGCATGTTATTACCACTCCTCCTTATCTGTTTCACACTCACTCAAGCAGACGAACAGACAAAACACGTCCAGACGATGTTAATAGTATTGGGATACTCCTGTGGTTCCAATGGCGCTGACGGCCAGATGGGTCCAAGCACCAAGGCGGCGATCAAACAATTCCAAAGTGATTATGGACTTGCTGTTGATGGTATAGCTGGCCCCCAGACCATTGCCAAATTAGAGCAGTTGACCAATTATTCTGCACAGACCCAATATGTTCAAACGATGTTAATTCAATTGGGGTATTCCTGTGGATCTTCTGGTGCTGATGGTTTCAATGGTCCAAGCACAGTTGCTGCAATCACACAATTCCAGAAAGACTACGGCTTGAAAGTCGATGGCGATGCTGGTCCCGAGACTATCGCCAAACTAGAACAACTCACAAACCCATCTTCTGGCTATTCAGAGGAGACTAAACACATCCAAACGATGTTGATCTTATTAGGCTTTTCGTGTGGATCTTCTGGTGCTGATGGGTATATGGGCCCAAGCACAGTCCAAGCCATCACACAATTCCAAATCAAATACGGTTTAAAAGTCGATGGAGATGCCGGACCCGAGACAATAGCAAAATTAGAACAACTCACAAATTACTCAGCACAGACAAAACACGTGCAAACGATGTTAATTCAATTGGGATACAACTGTGGACCAACAGGCGCTGATGGGTTTGATGGGACTCAGACAATTGCGGCTATTAAACAATTCCAAAGTGATTACGGACTCCAAGTGGACGGCATTGCTGGCCCTCAGACCATCGCCAAATTGGAAGAATTGACAAGTGGGAAACCATCGAGTGGAAGTGGCTCCCCAGCTATTCAACCAGTGGGAGGAAATGTTAACTCAAACAACCAAAACAGTTCGCCGTACCCTCCATGTCAGTCGCAGACAAGATGTCACCAAGAAGTCTATTATAATCAATGCGACGGAAGATGGAAGTACTCAATGTACTCAGATAGAGGAAATACGGGCAACACTATCTGCACGAGTGGATGTGGACCTACAGCTATGGCTATGGTCGTTGCTACATTCAAAGATAGATCAGTCACTCCAGTACAAATGGCACAATACTCTATGGACCACGGAATGAAAAACGACAACGAAGGAACCTACTGGGAATTCTTCTGTTCAGTTGCAAGCAAATATGGAATGAGGTGCGAACAGAGAAGTTGCTCGGATATGAATTATATCAGATCAAAAATAGACGCAGGTGCTCTAGGAATCGCGTCTATGGCACCAGGTCAATGGACTCAAGGAGGACACTTCATTTCTATCAACTCGTTCGACGGTGACATGTTGTGGGCACACGATCCAAATTACAGAGAGGGAAAAAGCGTGTCACAGAAAATTTCGACTTTTAAGAGCGAGTGCAAACAATTCTGGATTCTTCAGAAGTAAAAAATAAGGGATGGAAAGTAAGTGATTTTTTCAGGTATATTTTTATTTAAAAACATCATTAAAAAGTTTTTATGAGAAAACAAACTCATATATTTTATTTAAATGTTTTTAAAATATATTATTGTTCTTCATTTTAATAATAATCATATCATCAAATCAGTAAAACATACATTTATATATACAGTGAAAATACGTTTGAAAATGATGGGAAAATAGTTTGAAAATGACAGATTTTATTTTAAAAGGACAAGATTTTAAATAAAAAGGATGAAAATAAAAATCTAGGTGTAAGATCATTTTGCTATAAAATAATTATAAAGTCAGTCGATAAACGTTGTCTTTTTGACAAAAAACAATCGATTATTATTTCAAAAAAGAGAATTGGGTAAAACGTGAAAAATACCAAAACAATTGGGATAAATTTTTGGGACAGCTTTTTGTAATATTTCAATCTTTATGGTTTAAAAAGTACCAGATAACGTTTGAAATAAACTGTATGAGATAATTTTGTCGCGATTTTTTGAATAACAATTTAATAAATAATTGCTATTTGAATCAATTCAAATACTACATATATAGACTTTAAATTTAAATTATTAATAACAAGAATAAGAAGTTGTAACGATAGAGTCAATTATAACTAATTTGGTGCTTATTAGTCTCGTCTCAAATTGTTGTCTTCGTGCTCCTTGACCGCAATGACAACACCAGTTGTCACCGCCGCTGCTCCAGCAACAGCAGCTACACCGGCTCCAACGGCAAGCACTGGAAGTAAGACTGGACCGGCTACAACTGCTGCGCCCGCTTGGAGAATCGCATAAAGTGCTGCAAAGACTACAACCATGTCAACTGTGTGTCTTTGTAGTTTGGTGCTCAGTTTATAAAGCAGGTGATAACGCGTCTGATGATGACTTTGTGATACACTTTGTGTCAAGAAGCCGACTTTCATTACTTACTTTTTGTAGTAAAATGTATTATTAATATAACTTTAGTTTTCTTGATAATTTTTTAATATATATATTAGTAAATAAACCATGTAATTCAAGTTATTTGATATAATGAAGACTTATTTCAAAATAACGCAAAATTGATAGAGTTAATAATAACAAAAATATCACATTTTGATAGAAATAGAAAGATATTTTGATACGAGAAATTTACTTACCAAAATATAATAACAAATTGAATAGAATTGTTATAATAAATAGAATTAAACTATATTTTGGATTGATATTGAAAACAATGTTTCTTCAAAATGAGTAATACATTCACAACAACTGACTTACGAAATGTAAACAATATGTGTAGAGACAATAAGATAAACGAAGAAGGGATAAAATATGAAGTAGATGAAGTGATGAATTATTTGTTGTTGTGAGCTGTGAGCATAGCGAGTGTGTCCAATCTGACGACAGTTGTGTAATTTGTGTTGTAGTATGAGTCGTCGAATGGTTTTGTGTCTTTGTGGATGACAACACAAGTGAGATGTTGACACCCGACAAAGCACTTATCGGCCAGGTAGATAGCTTTGTGAGGGAGTGTGACGTCACACAGTGCCTTGCAGTTGAAGAAACACGATGCCCAAATAGCATTGACACTTTGTGGCACGACAATGTGTTGAAGTGATATGCACTCGTTGAAAGTTTCTTGTTTGAGTTCGGTGATGAGTGATGGCAGTGTGACTGCACTCAACGTGTCGCAACACGAGAAGCACTTTCTGCCAAGAGAGGTGACTGTTTGTGGCAAATTTGCGCATTTCAGCTGTTTGCAGTTGCTGAACGCAGAGTCGCCGATTTTGATGAGTCTGCACATCTTCTCGAATGTGACTGCTTGCAAACTCACACACAACTCAAAGCAGTGGTCTTCAATTGATCTGAGTTAAATGGGCGTACCAATATAATGGGCGTACTCTTTTATTGGGCGTACTCGTTATATAAATAGTAATAATGATTATTTTACACAAATTATTTAACATTAATATATTACATTATTTAACTTTTATTATAATTTATCGAATATACAATCTATTATTAATAATATCCTTTGATTCAAACAAATACTTTACATTTATTTGACACACTTGTTGTATTATTTCTTATTTAAGTTGTTTAAAACAAATATATGGTTTTTTTTATTTGTTTGCTTGTTAAATTAATATAATAATATTATATACATTTATTATATGCATACAAAAATAAATACATTTTAAAAACGTGCCTTTATATTGTCTTTTAATTGTTTTTACTACATTTAATAATTGTTGTTGACCATCTATAAATTGTTTTTCTATATTGCACACATTTTAATACATTTGAAGAAATACATTAAAATAAAAGTATATTTTTGTTCATTTATATATCAATTAATAATGAAATTACAGTATTATTAAAATATCACATATAAATAATCGATTAAATATCTTTTGTTTTTCTTTTATGTTTTTCTTTTGCAATTTGTTGTATAACTGTTTTCTTTTTTCGTTTTAGACGACGTATTGGTTTATCTATTTTTTCATGAGAATTACTGTTATTTGGATCGGACACAATTGATGATAATGGGATTTCTTGCTGAATGTCGACCTCTAAGTCTGGACAACGTGATTGTGAAATTTCACATGATATTCTTGAAAATTCTTCTCTTGTTCTATCCGTTATACTTGAAGTAAATTCTGTTTCTATTGTTTCCTCTAAATCCAACTGTTGTTCTTCTGATATTGAAATTATTTGAGATAAAAACACTTTGCTCATTTCAATTGAGTTAGCACTCGAACTTTTTCTTGATTCTTTGCAAGAAAAATAATAAGACATGTAGCTTATTGAAATTGCGTCAAGATAAGATAAATCAGTTAAAAACAATCCAGCTTTCATCTTATCGTTAATTTCAGTTATTTTTCTTTTAAACTCTGTTATTGATTTTGACACGTTCTTTGAATTGACACCATTAAGAAATAAAGCGTAGTTTTCAAATACAACGTTTTCAACTTCATGAAGAATGTGTGTCAATATATAAATATTAGGATGAACACGGTCATATATTACTTAATCCACTGTGGTAACTTTCACAATTATTATTGGTTCTGTCATTCAAATCAAACTGAGAAATGCGAGCAATTTGTTCGGGAGAAGAAATCCACTGACTTTTATAATAATCAATCACTCTTCTAAATTTGTCGGCGATATCTCCTTTAAGGCCATACTTTTCATCAAAAGCGAGATTTTCAAAACACCATTCAAAACAAGATTTCAATTTATCACTTGGTACAAACGGAAGTGCCATTAATCTTCTTGCCCAGAGATGTAAAAGAGGGTCATTATTGTACTGTGAAGACAACCCCTCTTGTGACATTCTTTTCCATACAGCTTGATTTATATGGAAAAAACAAATGTGGATATCACATCCAAAAACATTTTTGGCAGGGACAAATGCAGCTGGTTGACAATCAGATATAAATGTCAACCCATCTTTGGACTCACCATTAGGTCCATTAATAATAAAAGTTTTGATCGCTTCAAATGCTCTTTCAAAAGTTGCTTTTTTTTCGTTGGGCATCAATAAAAATGCTATTGCAAAACAATTTCCATTTATTAATGCATGAATTGTGTATAAACATTTTATTATTGAAGATGCTATTTTGTAAGTGCCATCACCAAAAAACGTGTAACTCAATTTGGCGATACGTTGTTGAAAAAATGAAGAAAAAATCAGAACGCGCTCTTCGTCTGGTTGTGTTATTTTTGAATCAAAAAAGAGAAACGAGTTATTTGTTTCTTCTATTGAAATACCTCTCTTTGTCACCGAAAGATGATTCGGTAAAACAAACGAATCAAAAGATAAAGGCAATACATCCAATACACATCTTTGCATTCTCTTAATGAAACTCAAGTATTTTTGTATTCTTCCTTTTTCGTCACGAATGAAATTTTTGTCATTTAAAACGAGTATAAGAATTGTTTTTGCTTTTAATATTAAATGTTTCTCGACTGTTCTGACACATATAGCATGATTGTTTCTATCTGCAAACAACTTGTTGTGATCAAAAGAACACGTGTGTTTTCCAGTCTTTTTGAATTCTCCATTATCAAAGAAAACCACTTTTGCGGAACAACCTCTTGCATTTGCCGAACAAATGTAAACATTGGTTATTGATGGGTTTTTCCTTTTGCTTTTTTCATCCTTGGAAAAGTGTTTGTAACAAAAACATTCAAGGCACATAAAGTCGTAATTGGTTGTACCAGGACGTACAGTACGATAATTTGTAAAAAACATAGGTACCATATTCATTTCTTATTTTTGTTGATTATCTAGATTTCGATTTAAGTGGGTTGTTGATCGAATAATGTTTCTTAAATGTTCTAAAAACATGTAAATATGACGTTAACAAAATTTAAAAAAGTTGATTTCGAGTGGTTTTTCATCAAATATCGAGTACGCCCGTTGATTATTTTTAAGGGAGTTATTTAATTTAGTTTAAATAATTATAAATATTAAATAAATATTTTCGATAATTAATAAATATGTAAAGATTAAAAATATATAAAAATTAACACGTTTGGATTTATTTTTTGCTTAATTTTAACATAATAAACATTAAAGTGTCAAAATGATCGATAGTTGAAATATAATAAAACAATACATACAACATAAAAGTTTATTTGTTTATATAAATTAAACCAATTTTAATTACATAATTAGATAAATAATAATAAATAATTTATTAATAATAAAACTCTAACACATATTGTTTTTTGTTGATATAAATATATTACATATTTTTAACCCATACTATTGATACAATTCATATCAAAAATATAAAAATAAGGTATTTACTATTCGGTTGTGGTTGTTCATATAATACTCTTATAGTCCATCTTCTTTTTGAACTCCAAATTCTTTAATATTTTTTTAATGTTATAAATTCATTATTATAAATATGTCAATATTTTTTTGATATCCTTAAATTGATTTTTAATGTGTTGATTATTATTATTTAAAACTCATATTTTCATTCAAATATTAAAAAAATAAATTTGTCTTTTTATACTTAAACAAAATTTAAATTTATTTGTAAAATATGACAATTAATAATTAATAATACAACAAGTATGTCAAATAAATGTAACACATTTGTTTGAATCAAAGGATATTATTAATAATAGATTGTATATTCGATAAATTATAATAAAAGTTAAATAATGTAATATATTAATGTTAAATAATTTGTGTAAAATAATCATTATTACTTTTTATATAACGAGTACGCCCAATAAAAGAGTACGCCCATTATATCGGTACGCTCACCAGTTTTATACCCTTCAATTGTGCTGAAATTGCCACACAACTCGATTGATGTCAGCAGACTGCATCCCTCAAATGTCGATGCTTTGAGAGACTGCTGCTCTGCCAACTTGCACAACACACTCAACTTCTCACACCCACAAAAGCACTTGTTTTCAACACGCGTCAAGACAGCAACACGCACATCTGACAAACTTCTGCAGTTGTAGAAACACTTCTCACCCAACGCAACAACTCCACTGATGTCGATGGCACACAGTGAAACACAATTTGCAAAAGTTGACCCATTCAAGAACGAAACTGCACTTGGAAGTGATATGTGTGTGATGCGACTGCAACTGTCAAACGCATTTGCATCAATTGATGTCACCAGTGGTGGGATGTTGATCTCTTCAAGTCTCACACAATTCTGAAAACAACTTGTTGAAATGTCACACAACGCATTTGGAAGAGAAATTGCACTCAAATTGGAACATCCACTAAACACGTGTTGATCAAGTGATGTCACTTTCAAAGGAACAACAACACTCCGCAATGTCGTGTTGTTCTCAAAACAGTGTGACTTCACAGCTCTCACCACATCTGGTATTGTCTCATCACAAATGACAACATCATCCTTCTCCAACACCACATTGTGATATTCGTATTTTGCATCTTCATCGCAATTTCTTCTGTACGTTGTGTAATCGACTTCATAATACACACGTATCTTGCTGAAATCCACTTTGCTTGTCTCTCTCTTGTATTCTTGTGGAAAGAAGATCTTCTTGAGACTGAACACCTCCTTCTTTTGTGCACAATCAGCAATGCCATCGCGTGGTGCGAATGGGCTGTTGCCAAAGTGCTCATCGTAAGTGTTCCATATGTTGAGTGTGGTGAGTGCTGGAAATGCCTTGAGTGTCTTTCTGTCAATTGGAAATGGGTTGCTTTCAATTTCAGTCATCACGTGGCGGTAATATGGACACACCTTCCCAAGTGTCACAAAGTCGGCAAGACTCTCAAAGTAGCGTGCAACCACTTTCATGTCGTTCATGTTCAGGTACGTCTTGTGTGTTGTCTGCATCTTTCTTCAATTCGTATTTATTTTTTTTATATTTTTAATAATTTCAGTTCATTTTCAATTGTTTTATTTTATTTATTAATACTTTGAATAGTATTATTTATAGTATTTGTTTAGTTGTTGTTATTAAATTACAACATGTACTATTGTTGCATCACATTTATATTACATTTGAATAACTTTGATTGTGAATTGTTGTTTATTTGTTTGTACACTCAACACCAACATTACAACACAGATGAATTAATAGCCGTGCATGTGCTTTTCACTCCAATACTCCCCCTCAGCACGCGATTTTGGTATCCACTTCTTTCTCTCTTCAGCATCAAGTCTCTCTTGCTCTTGCTCTTGCTCATCTTCCGTCTTCTTTTTTGGTGCGTAAGTCGGCTTGTTTTTTGTCTGTGGCATTTGTGTTGTTTGCAGTTCTTGTGTGATTTGATGAATCATAAAACTACACACATCACTTCTTACTTTTTATGTTTTGATTATAAAAATCCATTATTATTATGTTAGTTTATTATCATCATTATATTATATTATATTCAATTAATAATTTACAACACCTTATTTTAGAATAAATATTATTATATCTATTGAAAAATAAGAATTAAAATGTAACTTATAACACTTTAAAACACATTTAAACAATAACAAGACTTTACTTTCTTCTGATTCTATACTAATATTTTATTACATTTTAACTATTTTTAATAATAATAATAAAGAATAAATTTTAATAAATCACACACATTTAATTTAAATAATGAAGAAAAATATATCAAATAAATTAAATTTATACAATTGTATCTAAACATCACCACTTCAAATCTTGTAATTAAATTTATCTTATACATCAAAGGATGAGTAAATTAGATTCATACAGCATGATGATTGTGTCCAAATACTTTGTAACACTCGAAGACTTTTGCAACATCGAAGCAGTAAATTCAAAGTTCGATTCTCTTCTTTCCAAATTTCATTACAATCCAATTTCGATCACTCGCAACCAACTTCACCTGTTCCCAAATTTAGAAACACTCCACATTTACTCTTTTTACAGCGACCAATTTTCAGACATCAACTTTTACCGCCGCGTCTATTGGCGACCAGTTTCGTATCGAATTTACCTTCAACCGCACGACAATGTGATATACAAAAACGTTGTGTATACCCTTGGCGACATTGAGTTGTACGGCACTGACATTCCAAAGGTAGTCACATCACTTGGCGACAACTGTTTTATTCACAATTCAAGTAATCTTTGGTTCAACGCAAACGACAACCAAAACACTCCAGAAACCATCGAAGTCCCACCCCAAATCACCGCACTTGGAAATAGTTGCTATGCAAACAACAACACCGCAAAATACATCTTTGGCAACAAATTGATTTCTATTGGAGAGATGTGCTTTTACGACAACACCAATTTGGTTGAAATTGTATTACCAGACTCTTTGAGAACTATTCAAAACAGAGCTTTCAATCGATGTATCAATTTGAATAACATTGCCATCCCAAGTCGTGTTGAAGTGCTTGGAGAGTGTGTCTTTCTTGGTTGCAGCAATTTGAGTGTAATTGAACTTCCAAAGAATCTCAGAGAAATCGGGATGGCGTGCTTCAAAAATTGCAAAATTGAGAGAATATGTATCCAAACAA